GCCTGGTTGTAAGCAAACAACAATATCCAGAACTCATAGCGATTTCACGACGTGGAGGACCGCCCCATGGAGGTGTGAGAAATATAAATATGTCTGCCAGCACTTTCAGCCAGAGGATTTTGAAACAGAACTGAAGTCTCAACTGATGGGGTTGCCATTGTCAAAGTTGCGTCAATTCAAATCTGGTATTAGGAACAAAAGAGGTCAACACGACTTCTAAGATATACTAGTTATTTTAATTAATGCAAAAACCTTCAATGGTAAATATGATGTTTCGTATATACGGGCTCTTTGAAATACCTCGCAGGGCACTTCAGAGAACTAAAACATTGTTGCAGATTCAATACTCAAATACTCTGACAGAGAGAATTTCCCACTTCTCTGCTGGCCAATTAGAGTAAAGGACTGAGTGTGGTTTAAACTTTACTCAGCCAATCCGTTAGTTCAGGGGTTGGTCCCATCTCCTCGGCGCTCCATTTGTTGCACACTGCAGCCAGGCACAAGTTTATTATAACAACCTGTCATAGTGAGAAGAGCCAGCTCCCTTAGACATCATTCCTACGTCCAAGGAAGGTTCACAGATCACAAAGAACCAGTATAGTCTAGCATTTGGAGACACAATCCTTATCTCATTTTACCCCCTAAAACAGCTCATCACATCAATCACAGCCTGCCAGGTGTCACAACCTACATTAGCCCAGTCAAGAATGCATTCTTTCTAAGTTAGTCATCCCATCAATTTAGGAGAATAATAAATCCCCAATACCATGCAGTCAAACGTTGAAAAGTGATGCTATTCTATCGATTTCCCCTTCACTTCAAAGAGGGAGCTATCCGATCAGACAACATCAGCGCAGCAGAAAATAAGTCAAGCTGAGGTAACGTAGCTAATGTTACCTATTCAACTAGCTAGCTAGAGAACTACATTTGTTTATCTAAACCAAAATCTAGCTAGCTAGATTTCATATTATGCAGGCTAGACATTACAAAGCATATTAATATAATTAGGCAACTTCTATGTGGCGATGTGATTTGTAAATGTGTTAGGTTAAGTTAGCTAACCGTTAGTTAGCTAGCTAGCTAACTAACTACTGCAGGATCTAACATGACTGTGTTCTATTTAGAGTCCGATCCCATCAACATCTGCAGCGGCATCAACATCAAGCTCACCACCAATAACTAGTGTGTCACCTTCTAAAATCTTTCTAACATCTACAAAATCTTTCCATGACTAAATCTTCCCATGTTGTCATAGTTGGTGTGCTTAGAAGTAGGCTACAACTTCTACTTTAGTTGTGTGTATCATGGAGGCTTAGTTGATTGTTCATGCAAGGCTTGAAGTCTAAATTGGAGAAAAGGAGGTATTAGTAAAGAGAGGATGGTGTGGGTGACTGACTGGTGTCTGTTGGGGTATTGTGTGTGAAGGTTAGTATGCTAATAACTGACTACTGTGTGTCCTACAGACTAATCCTGCTGCTGATGACGATGACCTTGACACCAACTTTAGAAGTACAGAGCCTGTGGACCCATTGGATGAAAGCTTTCAGGCTGGAATAAGCTCAAACTCAACATCATCTGACTTTGAAACAAGCCAGAACAGCCAAATATATTTATAAAAGCACAATACCCTCTTGAGAAAACAAAATAATCAATACCCTAAACTGTTTACAACACAAGTGCTCCTCAAATTTGTCACACCCTTGCAGTCAGTTCTTTGGCATGGAGGAGAGGGGCTGTTAGTATACAGCCTATTCACTCTATTGTTGGTAGTGCTTGTCTATTCAACAGCACAACTGTAGGTGCTCATACACAACAATACATGACTAGACTGTCTACAAGTCAGGCCCCCCTCAAACTTTTCACATCTTTGCTAACAGCCAATCTGAATGCCCCATTATTGACTGAGTGTAACAAAACACATGCTAGTCTTCTGTACCCTTTTTTGTTTACAGATGCACATGGTTTATTGTATGGTTACATCCTCCTGATCAGTCTTCATGTTTTACACATCCTCATGATCAGTCTTCATGTCTTTCCAGGAGACTTCCAGTACAAACAAATATTCTGAAAGAGGTCGAAGCAGTGGGTGGTGAAGAAAGTGTACGAGAGGCTTGTCCATCTGACTGCAGAGTTCAGAAAGGACCAGACGGTTGTCTACAAGGAGCCAGAGTCAGAGCCCCCTAAACCCAACATCTCTGCCAACATCACCCGAGCTTGCTAAACAAGCTGCCATTACCCAACAAGAGGTTCACCAGCTGAGAAAAGTAG